AATTTTGACAACCACCCATATAGCCGCAGTTCCCAGACGCTTCTGGAAGAGCACGTGGCCCTTAGCTAGAGTTTGACTAGATTTTGTTCCCGTAACAGGTATTGCCGGATGAGAGTAGGAAATCCTGGCATTGTTGTGGACGACCCTCGATCAGCAATCTGCGGCAGTAGTCAGAATAAGTAATACCAAGAATAATAACGGCCCCCTATACCCTAAACCCTAGGCTAAACTAGTAATTAAACCTTAAGCCCTAAACCTTAAACCTTAAAGCCTAAACCTTTAAACCCCAAACTCCAGCTTCCACCGGCAAAGGAGGTAAGGCCCTCCATCGAATCAACAGTACTCTCTCCTAGCACTGTGGGGGTTTCGCGCTCGCTGTGTGGGGTCCCTCAATTCCTGATGGTATGTGATGTAGGGTTTAGGGCTCAGGTTTTGGGATCCCTAGAATAAGTCTTAGAGTTTGTTTTAGGGTCGCAGTACTGGTTATTGAGGAATGGAGGTATCATCGCAGGAAAGAGGCGGTTCATGTCTCGTACTTACACGTGAGGTTCCCCTTGCCCTCTACCCCTTACCCTAAACCCTAAACCCCAAACCCTAAAGACCCTTTGATTGCCTTAGGTGGTGGCCTGCAATACCTGGCCAATCGTGGCCAGGAAAATCTTGCGCGGGCCCCGGAGGTGGGTGCTCACTGGCAACCCAGAGGCATCAAGCTAACGCCCAGGTTTAGGGTTCATAGGGTTTAGGGTTTCCTATAGCCTTAACGTTCTTTAAAGGGGGATATAGGAGTTATATTTGGGAGGGATGTATAGGGATATCTAGGGTTTAGGGTGTTGAAGTTTACTACTAAGGAAGGCTAAGCCCTAAACCTCAAAGCTTTCATGCAGAGACCTCAGAGACCTGCCAGCTTCGGATCCAAAATGATAAGCCGCAGCATCCCTACAGTCATGACTGTTTAGGGTTTAGGAGGGTTTAGGGGTTAGGGGTTTAGGGCTTAGGGTTTAGGGTTAAGTATGACTAATGTAAGTATTCGGTGTGTGTATATATCTTCATGTAATGTACCGAGCTGTTGTTTGGGGTGTAGGGCTTAGGGTTTAGGGGCATCATACTCGAAATGGGTGTTTCTTAAAATTAGTGGTACCTTTTCGGGGGGTCCCCATAATAAGCATCGTAGTATTTGGGGATCTATATTGGGGTCCCCCTATTTTGGGAAACTACCAAATATGTATGACTCCTGCAAATATTCTGTGTGCGTATATGACTATATGTGTGTATATACCGAGCAGCAACAACTGTCATCATTGTTACTAGTTAGTTTCTGTGAATATCATAGTACTGGTATACTGGGTAAGCCCCTGGGATATTTGATATTTTCCCTAATGGCTTTAATAAGGGACCCTATATACTAATATTTTTCAAAGGCTTTTAGGGGCCAACCCAGTATAAATTAAGAAGACAATGAGGAAAAAACGCGGAAAGCTTATTCGTCTGCGCAGGGCGCCAGGTCACCTGTGAGTCCTACATCACCGGCATCGCAATCATATCCTGCCCGCAGCTACGGCGGAACTTACTTCGTTTAGGGTCTAAGCGCTTTAGGGTTCTCAAGGGTTTAAAGGCTTAAGTGTTCAGGGTTTAAGATTCTGGGGTGAAGGCTTTGGGATTTCCTAAGCGCCACGATTGGTGGTCAAACTTGCTGGAATTTATTGATCAGTTTTGGAGAAATCTAAGCCTGAAAGCCCTACAGGGTACCAACGCCCAAACCCCCAAAAAAGTAGCGTACACTGCAACATCTCGGAAGTTTGAACCAAAAAACTACACTGAATGACAATGTTGCCAAGACAAGTGCCACACGTATGGGGTCTATATAATCCGGAACCCGGAACCTACACCCACTCAAATTCGAATGAGGAAAGACCCTAAACCCTAAACCCTAAAGGGTCGCTGGAGAGTCATCTTCTACAGGGCTTGAACAATGATGCGTGTCTTTTGAGGTTTCTTTAAGGTACCCTACAATGGATTCATACGAGAAATCTAGAACCATATGTATATCAGCCGCGGTCAGTATTAGGCTTATTAAGGGTCCCTTAACAGTGGACATAGGGGTCCCTCTGGTAGTTTGTATATTCCCTCATATAGTCCTGCATAAGGGACCCATGTCCAT